GAAAAGTTGATGGAAATGTTTGAATAACTTTCGTAATAAAGCCAAAACATCAGATTTTGAAGAAATATTAGAACTGACACCTCTTGACAACAACTACCTTGTGGACAGAATGAACACAGTGCACTCGAAGTTAATGAAGATTATTAAAGGATGGTTTCCTCTTCTTAGGAAGAAAGACACTGTATCCTAACAAACGTGTGAACATATAAAAAGACCATCTCTACCAGTATGAAGATGAAAAAATTGGGATTCACCTACGGAAAAAGAAGACATAATACTAAAAATAATTTGTTTAAAATAACAACATGTTGCAACAGGCATGCCGGTTTACAGGCGAGATCGAAATGTTTAGGCTGCTAACATATATTTTGTAAAAGGTTGTTCAGTTACCTAAATATTTCATAGGGTGTGTTGGCTTCATACAAATAACTAAAATTCTCCACAGAAAATTATATATGCTTTTTCAGATTTTGCGATGTATGATTCGAATTATTGGCGCGAGTTACGACGGTCGAACTACGACGAACATCTAAGGGATGTAAAACAATGCAAGGTAAAGCCAGGTTTGTATATAACAAGAATTGATGATGTAAATGTGCAAAGATCTTGTTAATATTCGCCAGATAATAAATTGGCAGGCTCCTTGGTGAAGTAACCAAGTCTTCGGCGAATATCCAGACTAATATTTACGGATTAGAATAGGTGCTGATAAACAGAAGTAAAAGGAAGGGGCGAGGAGCAGAAAATATTCTTGTTTGAAGCCGATCAATGACTCGGCATACACATTTTTGGATGAAACAAAGGTATGATTACTCAGACTTATGTAGGCTAATGAAGACAATTCATTTGTAAAATAACTAATGGGCGAATAATCGTACGAATAGAGGAAATCCAAAAAAACTAAATTGTTTGCAATAATATTGATTTCCAATATATGATGATGAGGTACAGCGATCTGATGCTTTCATGATATTTTATTAATAATAATAATAATAATAATTTATTCTCAAATAACAAACATGTTACAAGAGACATGCCAATTTACAGGCAAGATCAAAATGTTAAGATTAGCAACATATTTCTTTTAAAACGGTATACAGTTACTGAAACATTTCACAAGATTCATTGGATTCCTAAAGATGGAATGTACAATGCGAATAATTGGCGCAAGTTACGAAGGTGGCGGTACGACAATCATCTTATGGACTAAGAAACGATTCATGATAGAGATAGGTTTTCATATAACAAGAATTGATGCGGTAAATGTACAAAGGTATGGTTGATATTCATCAGCTAATGATTTCACATGTTCTTGGCTAGGGTAACCAAGTCTACTGCAAATATCCAGACTAATATATGTGGATTGGAATGAGGTTCTGAAAAAAGAGGAATAACGAAAACGGGACGAGGAGCGGAACAGAGAATATTCTTGTTCAAAGCCGAAAAGCGGCTTCGCACATACGTTTATGGATAAAACAAAGGTATGTTTACCCAAACATTTTTAATATCATAACTATAACTGTACACCAGCACTTATGTAGGTTGATGAAGACAATTCATTAGTGAGATAACTAATGGGAAGTCAGTCGAATGAATAGAGGAAATTCAGAAGAACCTAGTTGTTAGTTATAATGTTGATTTACAAAATATAATAAAGAGGTTCAGTGATATAATGTTTTTATTTTATTTATTCTTCTTATTTTTAACTCTGTGTCTCAAGAAGTTATGAATGAGCTCTTTTTTAGTATAGTTATCCAGACCAGCTTGTAATAGGATTTCTCGGTAGGAAGTAAAAACCAGTGCAAGGTAACAAACATGAGTTGTAGACGAGGTTAACAAGGAAAAGTAACATCAATATCACTGATTTGTTACATCCTGCTATATCGTAAGGAGCCGTGAGCAAACAAAATGTTCTGCCACACAGACATGGGTAGATTGAGGTTATCGCCCCACCGTCATGAATGCTGGTCAGATACACCACCCTCCCTCCTTTTGTGATGTTAGGCTCTCTTACGTTTAATGGTTAATTGTAAATAATGGTCTCTAGTCTACTCTCAATTTTTTTTTTGTACACCTCATCGGAATTAACATTCTCTACTAGCTCCATATTACAAGCAATCCAGACAACTTTGCCAGATAATATATCCACATAGCATATCACACTGATTTTAAGTAAACGAATGGTATAATTTGTAAGATGAGTCAGTTAATAGGTAGTTTGAAAATAGGAAGGACAGGGAGCTGGAACGAGGAGAAAGAGAAAAAAAGAGTTTAAATAATGTTAAAGATTATCGAGTAAAGTGATAAGTCGGTAAGTAGGCAAGGTGTTTGCATGTTAATGAATTGGGGAAATAAAAATTTGTTAAACTGTTAATACTTAAATAAGAAGATACAATGATACACGGTGTTTGAGTTCCTTGTAATTGACAGTAGTTGATCAGCATCTACAGGCTTTTCAATTTGTCTGTCTACTAGAAATAAAAACTAAAACTGCTTTGAAGATATGAAAATAATGATCGGAATTTAAATTCAGAGAAAAGTCACGGGTAACACTTCAAAGGCGTAACCTATTACTGTTAGTAGGAGCAGGGGGATTTGTCTTTCATTTCGTGATACATGTATGGGTGTTAATGAGGACACAATATGTTCATAGTCTGTAATTCGTTTCTTAGGTTTATCTAAATATTTGGTGGACCTTAAAAGAGTGCCTGGGTACTTGGTGTGAGTTCCGGGAATAGTCGATATATCTCTTTAGAGTCTAGCAATAGCATGACTAGTTTCTTGAACTTAGTGATTGTGTCACAGATACGGATAGTAATTGGTAACCTGTTCCACAATAGACTATATCGTATTATAAAGAAATTACAACGCAATGATTTCTTGTGTTTTGCCGTTAATAGTGTATATGCGTTGTTTCTAAGTCTGTAAGCAGTGTCGTGGTTAATATTTGGACTATATTTCACGAACAAAAGACCATTTATTAGTTTATAGAGGAGCATTAGGTTGATTTTGAGGCGACGGCGCCATACAGGTTCTAGGGAGAGATGCTTGCATCTTTCTGTGTAGTCGAGGTTATGGCTCAATCCGAGCAGTCGCCGGGTGAAGCTTCTTTGTACATTTTCTGCTCGCATTTTGTCCATGATATTCAAGTGTGAAAAGATGGGTGAACAATATTCAAGTGTGGGCCTTATACAGATTTTGAAGAGAGTGCGCTTAGCCTCACTTGTGAAGAAGTTCTTGTTTATAAACCCAATTAGTCGTCTAGATTTAGAGATAATATTTGAGGCAAGTTCTTCTATCCTTTTTCTTTTCAACTCTGTAGCTCAAGAAGACATGAGTGAGCTCTTTACACCGTGATTGTGAAAGGATTTCTTGATAAGAAGTTAAAAGCAGTGCAAGGTTACGAACATGAGTCGTAGATCACATTAAAAAGTGAAAGTAACATCAACATCACTTCCTGCTATATCGTAAGGAGCTGTAAGCAAACATAATGTTCTTCCCTCACAGACATGGGTGGATCGATGTTACCGCACGACTGTCATGAATGCTGGTCAGACACACCCCTTCCCTCCCTAATTGGGAACAATAACGGGGAGGAGTGCATGCATATAGCATACAATTCTCCTTGAACCTAGCACACAACAATAGCGTCATGCACTATTCCATAACCCTTGGCAGATCAGGCAAACCGAAAATCATGGGAACACAATTATAGCATATGACAGGCTAGGAACCTCATGTACTTAAAAATTTCATTATTCTTAGATAAAATGAGGTATTGTCGTTCAAATCGACTATATTTAACATTGTTCATCAGACACTACTCAATCCATTCTTTTTCACTTGTCACAAATCCCTTGTTCGGCGAAAACATCTTCAAGATCAGAAATCCTCAGAACGTCTTGCTTGATGAGGTATATAATAATGTGTCTGATTATTCAGAATGTTGTGAGTTAATTATCGCATTATATGTCTTCACGACTTGTCTACAAGTAAATTATCGAGATATCTGTGGTGATCAAATCAAGCCACTGACTGTAGTACAAGTGACGCCATATGATATCAACTTCTTGTTGATTTTCTGTTTATTGTGGCCAATGGAAAGATATTCATATGAAATTCTGCTTAAATAGTTTATGTATTTTGTCCTTCGCCTCGTTCTTACGTTTATGATGACAACTTGGGCCAGCGTTTGGATCAAAATACACATTTTGTCTTTCTTTTCTATACTGACTATTAGTAACCCTTGTGTACTAGGCATAAAAAGGGACAATGATGCTGTTGATGTCTGCGTACCGAGAATATCACAATCTGCAGTTATCAAAGATATCATAGTCAATACGAAGTGAATACATAAGTTTTATCTACTTCCCATAATTATTTCATTCTTATGAAGATTTTGAAACTTCAAAGTTCCAAGACAAAAAGTGAATGACATATTACCGAGAAGAGAGTTAAGATGAAATGGTAATTCGCACTCAGACTTCACGGGTACTAATTGCTGATGCTACAATGGTTCCTTATCATCACAGAGAGAAATCATTCTCAATATCTTTGGAAGAAAGCTATTTGGAACAAACAGGGAACATATACTTTATGTTCTGAAAGATATTGTTGAGAGACAAAATGAAAAGTAAACTCAGTAACAAAATTAAAAGAGACTAAAAATGTCGCTCCTATTTTTATGCTCACAATAGTTTGGGATCCAAAACGTGGTAGTAAACAAACGAATATTCTGTGTGTCATATTCTAAAGCGAAACACTTGAAACACCTGCTCGAAAACGTATCATAATACATTCTTATAACAACATAACATGTACTGTTGACTGAGAATTATTCATATATATGCTATTAATGATAATAAACAAATAGTGTCAGTGATGCAGTTTTTATGTCGGATCTCAGACATTTAACACCGTAGTCAATTAGTTTGTTTGAATCGTTTCGGACCGGCCGCGGAATAATCTCAACCCGGTTTTAAAATCAAAACTTGTTTCAAATGGTTGGTATCCCGTTTTTTCCTGACACTTGTTTTTAGGCAGGTGGTAAAGCTGGGAAAGACTCTGGAAAAGCAAAGGCTAAGGCAATCTCTCGATCGCATCGTGCAGGCCTTCAAGTAAGTCCTTTTTGATTTAAACATCTACTATGACTTCACAACAATCATATCATTTAGGCTAGCAGAAGTTCAATTTTTGACAAACGAGTTAACTCTCAAGTTAATTGATGAGATACTAATATTATACCTATCAGGCATATCAACTGGTTTTTAGTTGTGCCGTGGTGGGAAGTCGGAAATTCGGTTCGCAAATCGTTTACTAGTTATTAGGTTCTCTGAGATTTAAACTAATATACTTAGTTTAGTCACGACTAAATGCAGCACATTTGTCTTTATCGGTATTATCCAGAGCACCAACCAGTTACTGGCTATGGCGGCTACTACATTTCGTTGGTTGTCCGTGATGATTCTTATATAATTGCATAAGATTTTCAGAATCCTTACATGAACAATTAGCGGGGTGTTTTTAACACCAAAATGCCTACTTATGTAAAGCCTTAGTAACGACTTTGTGCGTAGTAAGAAAGTGAAACATTTTAAAACCCAGGCGTCCAGCTTTATTAGAAAAGGAGAAACTAGGAGTTCCACGGTCAAATATCACACTATTGGTCATCTTAATGTGGGTTTGATAAGAACGTTTCTCTAACAGGAAGAGTATGGTTACTACTACACTGTTCCTGCTGAGGCTTATAATTTTTCGGTAATGTGGATACCTAGGATTCCACACATCAGAAATATGCTTGTACTGAAATTCGGTTTCTTTAGCGAAAATAGTAAATTTCAGGCTATCACGTTTTTCGTATACGTAACCATTGGTCTCGATTTTCCTGCGAACTTGAGTCAGCATTACATCATTTTAAAAGTATGTGTAAGTTATCATGCCTCAGTTCATCCGCCTAAAGCTCCTACACACCTGCTAAAAAACAGTGAGACTGAGTAGTCTAATTGGCGGCTTCTGAAACAGTCACTTCAGTTTCATGACAGTTTTGACTTTAGCTATTGGACCAGATCAAACCATTAGTTACTTGGCTACATTCCACATACGTAGTGCCTGGGTGTTCGTGTAAAAGTAGTAGTCATTTGTCCATGTTCTTCACCTTCGAACTCCATGTATCACGGCTATAAAATAACCAAAAATATAGTTGTGAAGTTAAGTCCTTGTTTGCGAAACCGACATCTCGTCTACGACTTCTGTTTTAATGATACATTACATTCACTTCTTTCAAAGATTTATATTTCCAATGTGGACCTATGTGAATAAGACACCAAGTGTCTGAAACAAACAAACACTAACATTTATATGCGATGGTTATAAATCTTTTTCAACATAAATCTGTAGACTTAATTACAGTTGACTTAAAACCTAGTTATCTAGTTCGTTATTATTTCAGTAGATCAACTTTGCCTGTTTACTTTATTTCCATTGAGTCTTTCCGTATTTCCCAATCCTAGTTTCCTGTTGGTCGTATCCATCGTCACTTAAAAGCACGTACTACTAGTCATGGAAGAGTTGGCGCTACTGCTGCAGTCTATTCGGCAGCTATCCTGGAGTACCTAACTGCCGAAGTTCTCGAATTGGCTGGCAATGCAAGTAAAGACTTAAAAGTCAAACGTATAACACCTCGGCATCTTCAGTTGGCCATTCGTGGAGATGAAGAACTTGATACATTAATCAAGGCAACCATTGCTGGCGGTGGTGTTATTCCTCACATCCACAAATCCCTTATCGGGAAGAAAATACCACCTAAACCCCTTTCCATGTAACAAGAGTCAGAACATATAGTCTTTATTATATTGCTTCTCACGTTCCTATCAATGTTATATTTTTAACGAGGGTATCTGTCTGACCCTCAAATGTATGCTCTTTGTTGCATTATATTTGTGTGAAATAGTAGATTTATCCAGATCTATTTTATTATATGTCCATATTTGTAAGTACATGTCAAAATCACGTTTCCTTTTTTTAAATTCCTATTCACATGATCAACGATATAAACATTAGGTTATTTAAATAGATCCAATGGTATCCTGAATATGCATTTCCTTAGGTGTTAAGAGTTTGTAAGTCCGATCATAACATTATGCAAACATCTTTGACACGTGACTGTGCAGTTTTCGCCCTCATTACAGTCATGAACTTTTAGAGAGATCGCCTGCCCGAACACTAAAAGCTACATAAATTCATTTGTACTTTGTCACCGGTTGAAATATAGCTCAATTTAAAATGTGATACTTTTTGAGTAATGGGAACCATAAATATTTGACTTTCGACCTCTAATATGGTGGGACGAATTAATTAATTAAATGGATTATAGTTCATGAGTTTATATCTTGCAAGATATTCTGTCTGTAATCCACTGATTTGTTAGACTTTGCTTGGTGAAATACACTGGATGTAGCCTCATTTATCTCGTGATATTTAATGCCTTGCGGCAGTAGCCTGCAGTTATCTGATTTGTGCTGTAATAAATGTAGGCTCAACTGCAATATTTAGGTTCGGTTTATGTATGTAGAGCATTTGACTCAGTCTGCCAAAATAACTATATTAAGTACCTGGCAGTGATATGCGCATGTCTACAATTTCGTCTACTTTTAAAATATTGGCTTATCACAGGTACATTTCCAACAATTCCGAAGTTGCATAGGGAAGTATTTAGATAAAAGTATAACTCGAAAAAGTAAAGGTTAATGTAGATAGGGTCTACGTCTATTACTGTTTTAATCTATCCATGCTTGTGTTTCGAACCTGCTGTCTGATGGTATCTGAATGCTTCAACCCGACTGTAGCTGCTACTTTGACGTGGTGGTCTGGTTCACCTATCGTGATGACTCGACCGAGCGGTATTGGCTAGGGTATATGTTCCTGTATGTCCTGCTTTGCCAGACAGGTTGATCGAAGAACGCTAAGGCTAAAAGCAGCAACTGGAGTTCTGAGGGTGAAGTCGTATTACTGACTAGTGGAATGTGACAACAATAAGGTGTTTCACTCGGACGACCAGCTTCTGCAGCAGTGCTGCCTTTCACAAGGCGGGGAGGGTCACGAAAGGTCGACCCTATACATGTCACACTGCATCACGGGTTTCCGTCTCCGGCGGTAACGGCAATGGCACAGACCCATCCACTCCTTGTGTTCTATTCAATTCTAATCTTTTCAATCGCTTATCACCGTCTTTCTTTTTTTAGATTTACTTCAGTGGATTATACTGTTTGAATAATTTCTTCAAACCCTAATCTTCTCCATTACCACTAATATTCCTTTCTCTCTACTACTGTGGGATTTGAACCGTAGTTGCGTCTCTGTGCTAATGTGGTATGGCAACTTGAACTGATGTACGTACGTACGAAGTTCTGCGTTGTAGATGACTAAGTGACTACTTCAACAGCCGAGACCCCGTTTTGCAGACTCAGTGTGATCTTTAAACTATATTTACAATTTAGTTACGTAAAAAAGTAATTGGTGCTAATTATGCTCACGTCGCAGGATTTGATTCTGACCAATTTGGTCTCGTGCTGTTACGGATATGAGGGCGTTTGTCACTTCCCGGCTGCCCACACCGTGGAAGGTTGTTTCTTTAGGGACCTGAAAAGGAAGATAGATTAGTGTTGGTCTTAGAGACCTGCGCCATTGCAAACGATTCTGACCCATGTCGTTCAAGGTCTCTAACCATTGGTGACTTTCGTCAGGCGGACCCCGACCTGGTAGCCTACATCTACCAACATGACTCAGTTCACTTATCAGTGACTTCATGAATTTCCGCCAAGTTAGGAGCGACCATACCAAAACATGGCAGAAATCCACGAGACGGAAGTCACCAATGGTTAGAGACCTTGAACGACATGGGTCAGAATCGTTTGCAATGGCGCAGGTGCATCCACTCTTTGTGCGCTTTTTAATTCTAACCTTCTGAATTCTTCATAATCTCTATCTTTCTCCTAAATTTATCTCACTAAATTATACTTTTTGAATCATATCTTTGCTCCCTAATCTTCTCCATTGCTGCTAATACTTCTATTATTGCTATCACTGTTGGATTTGAACTGTCAGTTGCGTCTCTGTGCTGACGTGGTATAGCAACCTGAACTGATGTACTTATGTACGAAGTTCTGCATTGTATCTGTCTGTCTGTCTATGCTCACGTCGTGCAATCAATCTGGCACTTCACGACATCATACGCTTAATCTTATATCACGTCTAATTAGCCCATGACGTAGATTCTTAGAAACAGGTCACTGTTCGTTGCCAAACAGAATAGAAAAGCTAATCTGTCTTAATAACGTAGTTGTTTGATGTCGTAAATAGGCTCGTCAATCCTAAGACGGATTGAAAAGATCACTAGTTTGAAGCGTCCCCTTTTAAATTCTAACATCCGATTACTAAATGTGATAACTCCGACTTAGTCTTCCGTTAGCAAACAAGTTGACTATAAATGCTTTGGAGACACCAATGATCGAAAACCAGTTGCATACGAATATCTTCTATTCTGACTGGCTATGTTTCGGAGCCATAAAGTAGGACGGAGCGGACCGCTGCGCAGTACATTTCCTTTGGTTGGCAAACGGCTATCTCGCCTGCGTCATAAGTGACGCAGGCTAGCAAAAGCCAATCGAGCCTTCTGTATCCGTGCTGAGATTTCGTTAGACACCAGGTCATCAGCAGTGATGAGACTGCTTCACTCTCTATCACTAGTTCAGGTGCCAATACAAGCCAATCCTGGAGCAACATTTTGCATTTCGAGGGGGAAAAACGCATCCCGAACATGTTTGCATTGTTGCTTAGGGTGGTCAGAAGAATTTGAATTTTTTCAGCGTCTTCACCAAGTAGGACTATGTCATCGGCATATTCTAAGTCAACAAGCAATTTTCCCGGTAGAAGGTCTACTCCTGAAAATTAAGACGGAGATAATTTTATATCTAGCAGCATGTCTATGATAAAATTAAACAAGAATGGAGAAAGTGGACATCCCTGACAGACACCACTTCCCGACCGAAGCTGCTACCTTGACGTGGTGGTCGGGCTTGCCTATCGTGATGACCCAGCTGAGCTATACTGGCTGGAACATATGTTCCTGCAGGTCCTACCATGACAGGCTGGTCGATTGGAGAACGATGAGACTAAATGCAGCTACCCAAGGTCTGAGGGCGAAGTCGTACTGCTGACTGTAGAGGGGTGTGACAGCAGTAAGGTGTTTCCCTCGGACAACCAGCATCTGCAGCGATGCTGCCTTCTCACAAGGAAGTAAGGGTTAGAAAAGGTCGACCCTAAAAATGTCACACCTCCCCTAACTCACAGATTTCCGTCTCCTTGGGTAAGGGTGCCCACTAAGGGCCTTTAAGAACGGAGCTAATCCTCAAAAAAGGCCGTGCGTGACCGGCCTCAAGCAGTTGTCCCTTGGACTCTGCGGTCACGCACCAACACTAATCCATCTTCCTTTTCAGGTCCCTCAAGAAACAACCTTCCACGGTGTGGGCAGCCGGGAAGTGACAACCGCCCTCATATCCGTAACAGCACGCGAGACCAAATTGGTCAAAATCAAATCCTTCCTACACCCCCTAATGTCTCTCTTATCCCTACGACAAACTCTACTCATACTCCATTTTCTCACTGCACCGCTAATGCAGACGAAGCGAGATCACGAAACGTTGTTCCTGGTCTCTTGAAACCCCGTTCTAGACTACATGTTGGAGCTTTTAATGTACGGACATTGTGTCAAATAGGGCAACAGGCATCATTAGCTAGGACTTTAGAAACTCGTGCCATCGATGTATGCTGCGTCTCGGAAACGCGCATACAGGATCCTGGTAAAATTATTAACCTGATTCCACCTTGTCAAAACGAAGAAGCAGCCCGATTCACTCTTCGTGTATCCGGTAGCCCTGATGCTGCTTCCAGGGGTCTTGCTGGCGTAGGCATAGCGTTAAGTCCTAGGGCAGAATTATCTCTCCTTGACTGGATCCCAGTAGATAGTCGTTTGTGCGCTGTCCGACTAAACGGGACAGTAAGGACTCGGAATGATAGGGACACTCGCCGTTGCCTCTTCGTCATATCTGCCTATGCCCCCACTGACTGCAGTTCAGACGAGGTTAAAGATGAGTTTTACAGAAAGCTTTCGGACCTCCTCCAAAAAGCTAGGCGCTCTGATATAGTAATAATGGCTGGTGACTTTAATGCTCAAGTAGGTAGACTAGGTGAAAAGGAAAGACGTCTTGGTGGATGTTATGGTGTTGCGACTGAGAGAACAGACAATGGCGACCGTCTCTCGCAACTATGCTCAGATAACCGCCTATTCTTAGCGAACACCAACTTTAGGTATAAGGAAAAGCATCTGTTGACCTGGCGACCTCCAAAGTCGTCTCAACGTTGGACTCAACTAGATCACATCGCCATCAGCCACCGATGGAGGGGTTCGATAGAAGACTGTCGCTCGTTCTGGGGCACATGTTTGGATTCAGATCATGCTCTAGTGCGAGCTCGAATCTGTTTGAGGCTTACTGGACGTAGGAAAGACACCGTAAGAAAGCCTCTTAGGGTTTTACTTAATGATAATCAAACTAAGAAAATATTTCAGCAGCAACTAGAAAGAGAGTTAAGCAACCATGCAAGCGATTCCCATCCGGAAGCAGGTGTGAATGGTATCAAAAAGGCTGTGGAAACAGCAGTGATATCTGCTAGGAAGGTAAGCCATAAGGCTAGAATGAAATCGTGGATCTCAGTAGCATCCACTGATCTGATGGATACCCGAAAACTGATCCCACCTGGCTCTGAACATGATGAAGAACGAAGTCAACTTAGGCGCAGACTTATAAAAAGCCTGCGCAACGATCGCGGACAGTGGTGGGTGGCGAAAGCAAAAGTGATGGAAAAGGCAGCGGCGATAGGCAACAGTAGACAACTTTTCCGACTTATCAAGGAAACTGGTATTAGGAATCATAGTGTAAGTGAGACTATCTCGGAAAAGGATGGGATTATTATCCATTCTCAATCCAGGAGACTGAATCGATGGGCAGAACACTTTAGGGATCAGTTCAACTGGCCTCGAGCCACTCTTCGGTTACCCACGATCTCCAGTCATCCTGAATGGCAAATCGACGTAAGTCCCCCTAGTCTTAATGACGTTGAGAAAGCGTTAGGAAATCTGAAACGAGGACGAGCTGCAGGTCCTGATAGACTGACACCTGAGATATTCAAGGATGGTGGTCCAGTTTTAGCAGCTAGGTTGACTGAGATCTTAGGTAGAATCTGGGAACTGGACGCAATCCCATCCGACTGGTCTCAATCACTGATTGTCCCAACCTATAAGAAAGGACAAAAGTCTTCTTGTGACAATCACAGGGGAATAAGTCTAACTAATATAGTATCTAAATTATTGGCCTCAATAATACTTCGACGCTTAACGAAAGCTCGTGAAGAGCAGACTCGAGAAAACCAGGCTGGTTTTCGACCTGGACGTGGTTGTATAGACCACATCTTCACACCACGCCAGGTCCTGGAACATAGACACACATTTAGGCGTCCTACAATAGTTGTTTTCCTAGACCTTAAGGCGGCATTTGACTCAGTGGATCGTGAGGTTCTGTGGCAGTGTGTCATTGAAAGGTGTGCCAAAGAAGTACATTAACCTCATACAAGCTCTCTACTCGAACACCACCGGTCGAGTGAGCGCTTATGGCGAACTGTCACCGGAATTCTCTACATCAAGTGGTGTCCGTCAGGGATATCAACTTCCTCCATTCTTGTTTAATTTTATCATAGACATGCTCCTAGACATAACATTATCCTCGTCTGAATTTTCAGGAGTAGACCTTTTACCAGGTGGCTCGCTTATCGACTCAGAATATGCCGATGACATTGTCCTACTTGATGAAGACGCTGACAAAATGCAGAGTCTTCTGACTACCCTAAGCAACAATGCAAGCATGTTCGGGATGCGGTTTTCCCCGTCGAAATGCAAAATGTTGCTTCAAGACTGGGTTGCATCGGCACCTGAACTAGTGATAGGGAGTGAAGCAGTCGAACGTGTAGACCGCTTCAATTATCTTGGGAGTCTCATCAGTGCCGATGGCCTGGTGACTGACGAAATCTCAGCTCGGATACAGAAGGCTCGATTGGCTTTTGCCAACCTACGTCAATTATGGCGTAGGCGAGATATCCGTTCTCTAATCAAAGGACGAGTGTACTGTGCAGCAGTTCGCTCCGTTCTCCTATATGGCTGTGAAACATGACCAGTGAGAGTAGAAGATGTTCGTAGGTTACTGGTTTTCGATCATCGATGTCTTCGAAGCATTGCTCGTATATCGTGGGACACCCGAGTGAGCAATGCTGTTATTAGGAATCGGGTGCTAGGTAAGAATGGCAGATCTATCGATGAAGTATTGAAACTTCATCAGTTGAGGTGGTTGGGACATGTGTTGCGTATGCCCAAACACCGACTGCCTCGAAGAGCTATGTTTTCTAGTGTAGGAATACGTTGGAAGAAAGTTAGGGGCGGCCAAACCAAAACATGGCAGAAATCCATGGAGTCATTGACTAGTGGACTGAGCCATGTCGGTAATTGTCGACTACCGGGTTGGGGTCCGCAAGATGATAATAATCTATGGTTAGAGACCTTGAATGCCATGGCTGAGAATCGTTTGCAATGGCGCCGGTGCATTTATTCTTTGTGTTCTCTCAAATCCTAATCTTCTGGATTCTTCAGCACCTGTAGTTTCAACTCTCTAAACTTTTCTCATTTAATCATACTTCTTGAATAGTATCTTCTAATCCTAACCTCTCCGATTACTCCTAATACCGTTACTACCTGTTCTACTATTGGATTTGAATTGACGATTACTTCTCTGTGCTGATGTGGTATGGCAACATGAACTGATGTACTTATGTACAAAGTTCTACGTTGCATCTGACTGACTGACACCACTTGAAGTAAAGCATTCCGATGACAGTTCACCATAAGCTCTTACTGGACCTGTAGTATTCGAGTGTAGAGACTGTATAAAGTTAATGTACTTCTTTGGTACATTTTTTAATGACGGACACTGCCACAGAACCTCATGATCCACAGAATCAAATGCCACCTTTAACTCCAGAAAGACAACTATTATCTTATGCTTATTATATGTGTCTGTGTTCCAGCACTTGTCGTAGTGTAAAAATGTGGTCTATACAGCCACGTCCATGTATGAAATCAAACTTATTACGCTTTATCTCTGTCATTTTTATTTTCTCACATCGGCTTGCAAGACTATGCGCACATTATTTAACATACAAGAGGTAGTCCAACCATACCAACAACACCTTTTTGAATCCGTCCACTTAAGTTTACTTTATTAATGAAAGCTTATTTAATAAAATAATATTAAAAAAAATATGTACATTATTTTTCCAAGAAAAAAAAATTGTAACTAATACCACTACCAATTTTGGATGATTGTAAGTGATTTAAGAAAAATACAGGCTAATATATGAATAATACATATATGAGAATGTATATTTTCATGTGAACAACTAACTATTCAACACCAATGAAAATGCGAATAAATATAAAATTGAATCATTAACAAAATTTACAATTAACACAATGTCATCGAATTGTATGATTCAAAATTCAATTGATTGAATAGAGAAAGTATGTATGTATGTGTGTGTGTGTTTTTGTACAATGATATGTATGAAGAAAACCTATTTGACAGAAATTAATTCCAATTTTAAGTAATGGAAGATGTCGCAATTGACAAAGATGAATTACTATGTAGACAGACTTGCATCAACTGACGTCGAGTCTAAATTCATTGCCTTGAGAAGAAGATAAAGAAAAAAAGATGAGAATTCGGAAAGCATCAAGGTTAGTTAAGTGATAAGATTGAAATCACATGTAACGTAACATTTATTAAATTACATTTTTGAAACCATGAATCGACCACTGTTAGACCACCATTAGAAACCTGGAAGCACTGGACGGCCGTTTCGTCCTAGTATGGGACTCCTCAGCAGTGCGCATGCACGACTCCTGCAGCCCGGAGGATTCGTACCCAGGGCCTTCGGTATTGTGCGCGAACGCCCTAACTGTTAGACCACTGAGCCGGCATCTAACGGTGTTAATGTCTAACATGATCGAATTCACGGAGTTGCGCAAAGTCATACACAGTCTTCGGTAGACACTGCTGCCTACATTAAATTGTATGTGAAGTTGAAAATCACAACCAAATCGGTTAGATAACAAACACTATGGAAGAGCAAGAAGTGTCGAAAATTTTTTATGGCAGAAACATTTTAGTCGTACACCTTTAAATGGCGGATGAGAAATCTGTTTCACAAGCATCAAAGCTTGAATAGAGCGCTTAATAGTCAGCCCGCTGGACTTAGTAGACCAAATAGTTGAAAATTGTCCTGTATTGTTATTCAATAACTCGTAGGTCAGTAACTATACAGTATTTCTATATTCTCCTTACAGAAACTTCCAGTGGACCTACTGGTCGTTGAGATGCGTCTTACTACTTGTTTGATTGTTACTACTAGCTAATAAATAATAAACCCTTTGCTTCATTATGCATGCAACTTATGACATGAAGTATGATTTCTGACTTTGTATACTTTATGATCTGATATATATTTAGTGTTATTTTACGGGTGTAAAACATGGTCGCTTGGAGTAGAGGATGTTTGTAAGTTACCACAGATGTCTTTGAAGTGTTAATCGTATATCCTGGGACAAACGAATAAGGGTACTAAGTAAGGATAGCAAATCAATTGACGAAGTAGTGATGTTTTATGATGTAGGAGTAGTAGGTTGGGAGAAAGTCAAGGACAGCCAGACTAAAAATAATGCCACAAATCCGTGAACTCATCGACAACTGGACTGAGACATGTTGGTAGGTGTAGACTACCTGGTTAGGGAAAAACACCACCAAGAGCAGATAAAAAATTGTTTTTATTTTATATGCCACTGGGGAATTTATCTCTTCCTAAAAATGAACGACTATATTTCTCTCCTTCATAAGATCCGATCAATGATGATCGACCTTTCGTTTTTACAGATTACATGAATATATGATTAAAATATAATCAGACAGTAGAGTATCATAGTTTGCGAATTCTAATAGGCTGCTGTATTTAACTAAGACATTGTCTGCTACGAAAATTGCGGAACAAGAAATTCCTACAATAAGATCATATTGATTCATACTTGAACCACACACACAGACATTGTGTTGTTTACACTGAAGATCAATTGATCTCTCATCATCCTGTGTGCTGGAACGGGTATGAGGGCGGTTGTCACTTCCCGGCTGCCCACACCGTGGAAGGGTGTTTTTTGAGGGACCTGAAAAGGAAGGTAGATTAGTGTTGATCTTAGAGACCTGGGTGCCTGACCGCAGAGTCCAGGGGACAACTGCTTGAGGCCGGTCACGCACGGCCTTCTTATGAAGGGATTTTGAGTATTAGCTCAGCTCTTGAAAGCCCTTGGTAGGCACCCTTACCGACGGAGACGGAAATCCGTAAGGTAGGGTGAGGTGTGACATTTTTAGGGTCGACCTTTTCTAACCCTTCCTTCCTTTTGAGAAGGCAGCATCGCTGCGGATGCTGGTTATCTGAGGGAAGCACCTTACTGCTACCACAACCCCTCTGTAGTCAGCAGTACGACTTCGCTCTCAGACCTTGGGTAGCTGCTTTTAGTCACATCGTTCTCCAATCGACCTCCATGGCATGGTAGAACCTTCAGGAATATATGTTCCAGCTAGTATAGCTCGGCTGGGTCATCACGATAGTCAAGCCCGACCACCACGTCAAGGTAGCAGCTATGGTCGGGCATCATCTTATAGTAATAATGTTTACTGTTAATAAAACTAGCTGACAAAAAAAATACTGAGATTCTTGACATCGATCAATACAATTCAAGAAATCATTTTTATCGAATTTATTGTAAAATTATTTTGCAATCACAAGGGAAAAGTCTCATAATCTTATTGATTACAGCTTCGAATTTACACTGGTACAATCCAAGAGGATTTTTAATCACTTATCTAATCTTCTTAGTGTGTTTTTTTTAATTTAGGATTAGAGAAAAAATGGAAATGACAATAGCCTAGACATCATCATATCGTACGCAACAAAATAAACAGTATGGAAGTTAGTAGCTGAAAAAAACAAGAACAACAGTAAACATAAGATTTGAAGATGACAATAGTATCCACTGAATCATACTTCCTGAATAGTAACTTCTAACCCTAACCTCTCCGATTACTTCTAATTCCCTTACTACCTCTACTACTATTGGATTTGATTTGACATTTGCGTCTCTGTGCTGATGTGGTATGGCAACATGAACTGATGTACTTACGTACCAAGTTCTACGTTGCATCTGACTGACTGATAGTATCCAACCTCTTTGTTATATTTCTAAGGAGAGTTTATAAACTCAACGTACATTCAAAGACAAACAAGAAATGTTCATTTGATTTTACTGATAAGTTTTAATTGATAACTATGCTACTGCAATGTTTAATACAGACTTCTTAGTCAATTTTTAAAGCTTCAAACTATTTCTGCACATCCAATGAAACAGAAAATCGAGTGTGCTTATAGAGTAAATACTATAAGACTCAGGATTTTTGTTAAAACTTTCTACAAACACACTAGAACTAAAATTATCCAATCAAAATAATGACTACTCAAAAAATTATACCTGTAGAGCAGCTTGTCGTACAAGTTCTAAATCTGTGAAATCTTCAAAATCACAAGAATCATTAACAATAGTAGTAGTATTCAATGCTAAATCTTCATAATTGCCTAATAATATTTTGGATGTATTAGCACAAGTCGATAATGCATTATGATCTTCAGTAAGCTGTGTATTAGACATTTTTGCAAATGAAGATAATGTTTTGCCTGCTTCTTCTTCTTCTTCATCAAGTTCATTGAATTCATTCAACTCATCGCAATCTTCATTAAAACAAGCATTATCATGTTGTTTTTCTTTCAGACCATTACATGGAATGGGAGTTGTTGTTACGTATTGATTAGTTGAATTATTATTCCTATGATGTCATAATAATAGGGAAGAAATAAAAGGAGAAGGAAGATTAGAACTCTATACTTTCTTCATCCATTACGTAATATATATAGGATATTTTTGACTAGAAGAATAAAAGTTCGATTGTTAATAACTACTTGATTGTGTTGTTATTCCATTATCTCACCTTCGGTTACCAGGTGAGAAATCCATTTGTTAACCAAATGTCGAGTGTACTGCACAGCAGTTCGCTCCGTTTTATTATATGGATGCGAAACATGGCTAGTAAGAGTAGAGGAGATTCGTAGGTTATTAGTATTCGATTATAGATGTCTTTGAAACATTACTCGTTTATCCTGGGACAGCCGAGTAAGCAATGCTATAGTCAGGAATGGAGTACTAGTGTGATGCTTAGAAGTATATGAATCAAGAAGTAAAGAACTGCAACAACGAATGTATTGTATTTAGAATTCGAAATCAAGCATTCAACAACAACAAGAAGTTACTAGTTCATTCAAACACCACATCCGCCGCAGCTTAAATTGGAATGTATATGTCTGTAATCAATTGTACGTCTTCTTCTCAAATTCATCCTGTGTCTGTCCGACAGTGTATTGGATAAAGGCTCTGTATTATCTAGAATGCTCTCATTAGTATTAGAATTAACAACCGGAATCGGAACAGACTCACCTGGTTCCTGGAATTGTATTTGATCAACATGTCGATTGTGTGTACTTAAGTCATTGATATCTTGAAGTCGCACCATAGATTTCCCGACATTCTTCTGAACGATCCCCGTGGATGGTCGAAGTTCATTGCCACGATAATATGTAACTTCTGCAGACTCCAAACATCTCATATTCGACCGAAGAATTCTTCCTTTTACTAGTTTTGACGGAGTCTCTTTCGTCACCGAATGTCTGGCATTTCTATATTGCAGTAGAAAGGTATCTACTCCCCTCTCCGGCTCATTAAATGTTGAGGCGGCAATAGAATCACTCAACCTCGAATGCTGATTTTTCAGCTTATGACACTTTTCGCAATTCTTTGCTGTACGACAAATATCTGCATTCAATGACTATCGAGAAATGTAGTCAACATGTTGAATTTGCTTGGCACTCCCGTGCTGAACCATTTTCATACTTCCATTGCACTTAGCACACGTGGCTATCAAATCTTTAAGTAAAGCATCAGAATTTTCTTTAGAAACTAGGAAAGACAACTCCACTTTAAGTCTTCTCAAATTCTTTAAACCCAGTATTGACAGTCCCGTTTCGCTAACTAAGAATTCACATGGTATGTATGAGGAATTATCATCTCTTATTAGCAATTCACAACATCCTCGTATAGGCAGTCTGTGTCCAGTAATCCCCAATATTGATACTTCAGTGGGTCGTATCACAACGTTCGGATCTAACGATTTCAGGTTCTTGAATGAAATAATGGACTCTATACTGCCTGTGTCCACAATAAAGTCATGAAATGAACCAAGTGATGTATATAGTCGCTTTTGAATATGAGCATTACCTTTCGAAATGGTAGTTAAAGATAAATGATCATTAGGATCAGCTGAATTATTGGAATCTAAATTACAAGCTTTAGCACTACTTGAGGCAAAATGAACAGTAGCTTTGCATACTGCTTGAATGTGTCCTATCTTACCACATCTAAAACATTTAGCATTACGAAATGTACAATAATAACGAGAATGAAGTTTTCCACATGATAAACATTTGCCAAACTTGGTCTCACCTTTTTGAGTTCCTTTGTAATTCTTTTTTGAGACACCGTTCATTTTTACACGAGAATAGGAACCTCTGTTAAACGAACACAATTTTGATTGACCCTGAGATTGCTTTTCATCATGACAACTAATCAAAGTATTGGAAATCTTGATCGACTGAATATCAAGTTCATTCAACGCCTCGTAGTTAATGCACGCAGTTCTAACATCTTGAAAGGAACAGTTTGACATTCTTAACAGCTCTCTTTCCAAACTAGGTATGTTAATTCCTGCAATTAATCGGTCTCTCAGCTGCACATGAAGTTGATCGCCAAAATTACATTTGACAGCCTGTTTCTGCAATTCAAGAATGAATTCCTTAACATTTTGGTCATTTTGACGAATCATCTTATGAAATTTCGCTCTTTCACGGCATTCAAAACCAGGGCACTTTACATGATTCAATAATAACTCCTTAAGCATTGCATAGGGAAGTGAAATAGGTTTTTCTGGATATGCCAAGGTTTTCAATAAGCTGTACGCTTCTTTTCCGATGAATGTTAGGAAATGAGCCACAATTTTATCATCTTTGACATCTTTCCTAGTCATACTCCAGATTTCAAACCTTTCCAAATAATCTTCAAAAGCATCAGAAGTAGAATGAATATCTAGCTGTTCCATTACAAGTTCCATCGCGACGCCACTGTGATGCTTAGAAGTATATGAATCAAGAAGTAAAGAACTGCAACAACGAATGTATTGTATTTAGAATTCGAAATCAAGCATTCAACAACAACAAGAAGTTACTAGTTCATTCAAACACCACAACTAGGTAAGGGTGGCAGCAGATCAATCGATGAAGTAGTGAAACTGCATCATTTGAGGAGGTTGGGACATGTAGTATAATTGCACAACCACCGACTGCCTCGATGAGCTATGTTTATGGTGTAGGGGCAGGCTGGACGAAAGCTAGGGTCGGCTAAACCAAAACATGACACAAATCCATGAAGTCACCGACAAGTAGACACAATCATGTTGGTAGGTGCATGTTACATGGTTGAAGTCCGCGAGACGAAAGTCACCTATGGTTAGAGACCTTGAATGACATGACTCGAAATCGTTTGCAGTGGCACAGGTGCATCCACTCTTTGTGTTCTCTCAAATTTTAATCTTCTGAACTCCTCATCATCTTTGTCTTTCTCTTTCTAAAGTTATCTCACTGAATTACACTTCTTGAATTATATCTTCGAACCCTAATCTTCTCCATTACTGCTAATACTCCTACTATCGGTACCACTGTTGGATTTGAACTGACATTTGCGTCTCTGTGCTAATGCGGTATAACAACTTGAACTGGTGCATGATGTATGTACGAAGTTCTACGTTGTTAACTAACTAACTAACTGTTATTCTCTTATACAAAAAAGCTCATTGATTTGTTTTTTTTGGTCAATAATTATTTAAACTTTCAAAAAGAATGATCATCAATAGGTAACATCGAAACATTCAAAAGATACAGGGTGTTTATTATTAGTTATCGACGCAACATACTTCAAATCCATTGGGTCAGACATCATCAATCAACAACAATAACAACCTACTGTGGAAGGAGAACAAATCAGATTCCAGTGGAGAAAGAAATCAGGAAGAAGCGTTAGAGGTGACCAAAGCACACATTGAAGAAATCATCAGACTCAGAATCCTTGGGAGTCGTAACAAGCACTACATCCTTTAAGTATGGCAGACAGAATATAAAAGGTAAAATTTTTCACTTACAATGTTGTACAACCATGACCTGGCTAATATATCAATAATCGGTTTAATTCCACTGATGACAGTTTATCACTAAGAAAAAAAAGTCAGCCATCAATTTCCAATAAGGTGGATCCGATGCAGATGTGAGGACGCGGATTGGCAAAGCAAGGGCTGCATTTCTACAAATCAAAAATATCTGGAACTCCAAACAAATATCAATCAAAACCAAAATCAGGATTTTCAATACAAATGTCAAGACAGTTCTACTGAATGGAGCGGAAACTTGGAGAACTATCAAAGCCATCATCCAGAAGATACAAGTGTTTATGAACAGTTGTCTACGCAAAATACTTCGTATTCGTTGGCCAGACACCATCAGCAACAACGTACTGTGGGAGAGAACAAGTCAGATTCCAGTGGAGGAAATCAGGAAGAAGCGGTGGAAGTGGATAGGACACACATTGCGGAAATCACCTAACTGCGCGTCACGTGACAAGCCCTCACATGGAATCCTCAAGGCAAAAGGAAAAGAGGAAGGCCAAGGAACACACTACGCCGAGAAATAGAGAAAGATATGAGAGGAATGAACAAACATTGGATAGAACTGGAGAAGGAAGCCCAGGACAGAGTTGGTTGGGGAGAACTGGTGGACGGCCTATGCTCCATTGGGGGTAACAAGCGTAAGTAAGTAAGTATCAATTTCCAATGACCATTTAAAGACTTTTTGTCCAAACGTAATGATTATTTTTAAAAAACAAAACAATAATTTTAAAAAAATCACAGTTTAAACAACACGATAGCCTACTTGCATTCAATATCTTCTTCTGTATGATTTTGTTCAATCATATTATCATAGTGTTGAATAAATTTTGAATTATCATTATTATTATTGTTATCATCTTGGTTTTTATTTTCTAACACTGTATTTCCTCCGGTTAGCTCATATGGTGGTGTTTGTTCAATCGAAGTTTGAGTAGAATTTGATGAAAGTTCAACAGATTTATTAATATTATTATTATTCGTAGAATTAGTCAATGTCAGTGTAATGGATTCTTTCCAAGCTTTTAATTCTTCAACCTAAATATTCATTAGATAATTTAGAAGTAATAAAAAAGATGTGATTTTATTGAGTGAAATACAAAACTGATGTATAGATCAGTTTAAATGAATTTAGTAATAATAAATCATGTTGGTAAGTATAGACTGACTACCTGGTTGGGGTCCGTGAGTCGTAAGTCATCGATGGTTAGAGACCTTGAACAACATGGCTCAAAATCGTTTGCAATGATGAAGGTGCATTCATTCATTGTGTTCTCTCATATTCTAACCTTCTGAATTCCTCATCATCTCTATCTTTCTCCTTCTACATCTATCTTACTGAATTATACTTCTCGAATCATATCTTCGAACCCTAATCTTCTCAAATACTGTTAATACTTCTACTGTCTCTACCACTATGCTATTTGAACTGACAATTGCGTCTCTGTGCTGATGCGGTATGGCAACCTGAATTGATGTGTACGTAAGTAAGTAACTAAACAAAGCAATCTATTTTAGTAGTAATGAAATTCGCACTCCAGGTTTCGTCCTATAAGAATTTTATCAGTTGACTTTTATCTTCTGCCCCAGTATTGAAAGTCAGTAAATTCACGTGTTGAATAAAGGTTGGAAAAGAAAGGTGAACATGAACGCTGGAATGTTACGTACATCTAGTTGATGAGTACCCGAGAGGAAAAAACACGTCTCAAATCACATAACGAATACACTCATGATACATATATAACAATAAGGAATGAATAATTGTAGTCCTAGCTGTTAAAAACAGTAAATCATAAAGGCCCATTAAAAACGCAATTCGTTTAATTTAGTTTTTACATTTAACAAAGTTGTCAAATGTAGATGTCACGCTAGTTTTAAAGTATTAACTTTACATCACGAGTAAATATCAAAACTAGAGAAACACCAAAAAATTGTGACTAGTTAATTACTGTTTTTTTAAAGCCGAAATATCATTGTGATCTACACTTAAGACTCTCGCACGAAACTGTAGTCAGAAATTGTATGTTTTGTATAAGGCACGATATCATTATTCTGTGAGCACTTGAAATTTCTGTACTCATGTACATTTTCAACTTAAAAAAAATTAGTGAACCAAATCTGAATATGAAAAAGTGGTTAGCAGATGAATACTTGAAGCGTATTTTGACCTATTTAGAACTTTCAACAGAACTCTTTACAACATTTAATCACTTTATGAATTGATTTCATGTCTAGATTAGTATACTCCTGAGACGTTTTCAGATTTACTCCTACACTATTCAGTAAAGACAAATTAGAGAAGGAAATGGCTGCGGGTGAATAACACATCTCAACCATCACAGTCGATGAAACTTAATGCATCAGAAAATCCTTCAGACAAATGTCTTTTTTTTACCAGGAAAGAATGGTGGGACAAATTCTATATTTATTACACATCTACGCGATTTCGCCTGACTTTTAAACAAATATATTATTCAGATATTTTGACTCAATCTGTCGTTTATGCATGTGATCTTGAGACGTGTGTATGATAATATATAAGTCTATAAGTATTATTGTAACTTTCATGCCTATAGATGTTGAATAATGTTTTAAATAAATTGATTAAGCACAGTTCCTTCGCCCCCTATCTCATCTTGTTATCTGTTAGCTGAAATGAATGTTCGGAACATAAAAGTTTAAAAAGTCGTATATCCGCGAAGTAATTAACGAGATTTATCGACAGAACATATACGATGTAAATAGGGTCTATATTTCGTTTACAATATTAACAATTTGGCGGTTATATTGGAGAGAGACGACAGGCAGCTAAAAAATATGTCAAAACAGTTCAACACGAAACTCTAACAATAACTGCGATATAACCAAATAAACCAGTTCAATATATGTACAAAGTACAGGGATTTTTCGACCTTAATGGAGTGAGTTTACAGATTAATGTAATTTTGTCTTATACGCGCGCATGTAAGATAATAATGGGACTTCATTTACATTACATAATTCTAGTTCACCTGAATCAATAAACTACATTATACAAGATCATACATATTACATACAAGTACAGTTCGTTCACATATTATCAGTTAAATTAAAATGTTCCAGGAGGAAATTACATATCGGTCTACCTAGCCAGTCCTACAGCAATTTCAAAAAAGCCGTAATACTTTCAAACATAACTTTTTCAGTTCAAATCTACGGTAAGCATCCATTTATACTTCAGTAGTAGTGTGGTGTGAGCTACTTATAAGTAGTATATGACGTGAGCGTCAACGTAATGTCTGGCAGCAGAAGATGGGGGAAGATCAAGAAAGGAAGAGTTAGAAAACAATGGAATTTGTATGGAACGCGTGAATAGTGACAATGGATTGAGGTTTTGCAACAGGAACAGTCCAGTTCGATATGATGAACTGATATTTTGCAAATTAACGATTTACGATATGGTTTTCTGATTTTACTGAGTAACTCTGTAATCCTGTTTGAGTGACAGCAGGAATAAGAAACAAAGTAGGATTAAGTTAGACGGCTTAAGGAAGTCAAGCGTATCAACTCAATTTCATAAAGCGTAACTCACACTAGAGCCAGATGAATATAAGCGAAAGACTTGTGATGAATAAAATTAGCGAGACACGTGCTTAAGTAAAAGAAAAGGTCAAGGTAATATGCGAATAATTGACAAGGTTAAACTGTGTGGATAATAATTGGCGAAGAATAAATTAATTGGTTTGTCTTAAAGCTAGAGTATCCATGTAGGCATGACATTGTGGTACACACTGTGATAGCGTGACCATAAGATGTTTAGTTAGAAGTTAAGAGAAAATTATAATGTACCGATGACCTGGAGCAGCCTATCAGCTAATCAGGAAACAGTGCCTATTTATAACACAATCAAAAACTGGAAGCCACAAACCATCTGCGGAAACATAGCTTTTATCTGAATTACCAGACCTCACATGTTGGATTATTCCATGTAGAGGAAGGTAGAGGCTAAATTTACCTATTCAACATTGGGTTAGTGCTGAGTTAAGACTTTTCATCAGCAACTGAGACCTACTATGATGTTTTGAAAGTAAAGTTGGAATCCTGAGTCGAATATTTCATATATTGGTAATATGCTTGAGTTATTACGAATCACCTTACTCGGATTGAATCAACCGATGACAGTCATGGATTTCCCGAGTGGGAAATACAAGCTGAAGGTCAAAATAGGCGTATTTGGCGCGAAAACATAGAAATTCGAAATTTCGGAAATAAATTACAAAATTAGGATATTTTCCAAGTGAATTCTGGGAAGCTAACTTCCCCAACAAATGGTGTTGTAAGGGTTTTCATCACGAATTGACAGGAACTATGACGCAATGCTTTGCTAGTCTACTATTTACAAACTTATGAGACTTGCAGTTGAGATTTAGAGTAAGAGTTAACACGAAAGGATATTATCTAGCTTCACTAAACAGCACTGGCAACGCGCACTGAATCATAACAAATACTTTATCATACGGTTTTCTAATAAAAATCCCAAGTGATTTCAAGCATTTTAAGGACTGTAAATTGTCGATTTCGATAAAAATAATAAAATACAATTTATCTATACCTGCACTTTAAATTTCGCACTAAAACCATGGAGTTGTTTTTATTCCGATTGGTTTACTTAAAGCTGTTAGCATATTATACTTTGATCAAAGTTAGCGTTTTGCACAGACCATAACATTCCTTTCATGCGTAAACTACTTACTATCCATAAATCACCATCGGTTTATATGTTCCTACTACTTAAAAACCAAAGATTTAACCGGTCAGTAGTCGCACTCAATGGTTTTATCAGAGCTGTATAAACTCAGATAATAATGATCAGTCTGAATCGGTTCTGAGGTATAGTCGATTTGTATATGACAGCTGCAATCTACTTGTACGTTTGAGCAACTAAAGCGGGAGATAATGAAATTCTTCACCGACTCTGGATTTTCACTACTTCACTTCACTACTACTTTAAGACAGCATTGTAGACGGAATTCTAGTGACAATATTCCAAACCATAGGTTGTTAACAAACAAACTTCTATATACGCTTCTACTTAGCGAGTTATCGCTTCGCCTACTTAGTGTGACGTCAAGGAACGTCAGGTGAAGATGAGTACGATAAAAAGCTAAACTTCAATATCTAGAAACTTATTGAAAAGATACTACAGTAGTGATGATTTGCTGTTTTTTTCTTTTCAAATGTTCTTTGCATGATTCTATTTATTAAATTTCAACACATAAATATTGAATGATTGTCGCTGTTCCCGAACATAGGTTGCCGAATCTCTGCATTACTAACATAGTGTTGCCGTTGAACATCATTAATCGTTTAGAGACAATGATGATTGAACACATAGAGTCACCTGAAATCCTCAACTCGGAGAGGCCACGTTTCGCAAGTATGGAGCAAACCTACTCTCACCGATGCATTGCAGACCCGACTTTTTAAAACCAGACCAATATCATGAACATGCCGAAGATAACCCAAATCAGCACTAACCGCTTTGGCTTTAACTCTATACGTGAATTGATCTCATCACTCACGTAGAATAGTAATGCAACGAAAACTATTCCCAGAGGTATTTATAATTTTGTGTGAGCTGAGATATTGCTTAGGCAATCAAAACAATGTAGATAGTTTTCTTAAGGGATCACTCTCCCCGTTCCTTCGATCTAAAGACCTAAACAAAAACGTGGTGTAGCAGTGTCAACAAGTGTAGTCCATCAGAAACCGGTAATCAAAACAGACCCACATCGCCATTAATTCTCAAAGGGTCTTGAGGTTCATGTAAACCAATTATTCAGTCTTAAAGTTTTTCAACTCTCTATATAAACCGAACCGGTTTAAATAACAGAAGTTCACTTTTTGTCCGCCTTCGTAAAATAAACGCATAACCTTGAGCTAGCTATTGGGTAATATTTTCATGGTAAAGGAGCATTTTAGGAAGAATATCAAGGTTCTCTCCACTCATATAATCATGCCAAAGTATTTGAGGCACTTAAATTCAACTGAAAATTATCAAAAGCTATAGAGATACATTTTTTTTAGCTTCTGTATACGGGAGGGTCGGGGGGGGATCTTTCACTGACTGACATTAAACCTTTATTTTTATTTAAAGCACAACTTACTTCTTTCAATAAAAATTGTATAGAATTCGAATGTAATTGATTCAATTTATATTCTGCTTCATTTGTTCTATATTGAGTTTGTAATTGTTGTTGTAAAAATATTATATGATCTTGTAATAATTTGGTTTGATTACCACCACATGTTGGACATTGACAACAAGTTGATAGTGTTGATGGTGTAATAGAACATGTTGAAGAGAATAATGTAATTGGACTTAATCGATTAATCATTATGTTGGTCGATGTGATTGGATTGATTGATGAATTAGTTGATATAGTAGTAGTAGTTATGGCATCATAACAATTAGCTGTATGCAAAAAAAAGGAATTCGGTCATAATGAATGATAAAAAATATAATGATATACATATATATTACTTACATACTTACTGATGCCTGTTACCCCAAATGGAGCATAGGCCACCCACCAGTATTCTCCAACCTGCTCTGTCCCGGACTTCTATTTCCAGTTCTGTCCGATTTTCGGTCAATCTTCTCATATCTTTCTCTATTTCTTAGCGTGATATGTTCCTTGGCCTTTCTCTTTTCCTTTTGCCTTGATAGTTCCATGTGA